CGTTTAGATTGAATGGTAATTTATAATCAGTCACAAGAACGTCGAATCTGAATCACTTGAAAAAAACACGGGGGTGCTTAACTTTTTTCCAGGTGCATACATTTCCAGATGGTTCTGGAAAAAGGAGATTCTTAATTTATTTATCCAATTTATTTAACTTTTGTACAACTAAATTAAAAAGGGACTGGATAAAGAAGGATTTTTGTATGTTTTTTTTGCAGCGAATTTTGTACGAATCGAAAAATTATAAATCCAACAAAAGCTGCCACTAATATTTTAGCAGTAATTCCTCAGTATAGCTACCGTATAGCAATCACCATCCGGGTACTGAAACCCGCAAAAATAAGCAAGAGACTATTCTTCTCAGCCGCAGATTTTTTAGGACTTGAACAGACTGAGAAAATAAAACAAGGATATGACCTTTCACAGTAATAAACTCTGCATTACAATTACAGTTTTTCAAGTTATCTTCATGTTCTTGTATGACTAGGTGTCAAAAGAGTAAAAAAAACAAAATATTATATATCAAACAATCCCTTATACTGGCGTACCAGATTGTGTATCCAGTTCAAATTAGGTCATGTTCTTGAAAAAAAATATCTACTAAAACTGTTCTTAATTATTATGTCCAAAAACACATTTGTTTATTTATATATATATATATATATATATATATATATATTTAAGTAGCTCAAGATAAACAAGTAATAAAATTTTGATAACTGATTTTATGGGGTCATATTACCATAGTGCCAAAATACGAAAGCGTTCGGGTTATAAGGTTTCGTGTGTTTGATGTTTTGAAGTTACTTGTTTCCCTAACAACATGAATACTACCCTAGCAAGTAGCGCACTAATGATCGTGACGAAAACAATTTGAGATAATGATAGAAGTTTAATGAAACGTTAGCCGTTTCGAGATACTGTATTATTTGTAAACTTCTGAACTACACATCGTTAGAGTATACGATACAGATTTGCGAAACACATTAATACGAGGTATACTATAAAGGAACAAAAAAACAACAATGGGAACCTAATTTGCAGTGTCAATATCATATAATTTACTAAATCCAATTAATATAAGCGTAGAGATTGAATATTAAAAAAATAAAGCCATTAATCCTAACAAGTCTTGGTTCATTAGAGCGTTTTATTAATATTTTAAACCTATTAAAAAAAAGCTTGTTAGCGAACACTATCAACAAAAGTGTACATGCACATTAAATTTTAGCAAAATTTATCTTTTAATATCAAGATTGTGAGGCTACTTTCAGTAAAGGAAACCACTAAGATAACAGAAGTATGAATTATCTTATTCATTCACAAAACAGCGTGCCAACAGCCAGAAAATGTTGGCAGCGTATAATTGGCCAAATGTCCACCAATCGAAAAACCGCCTTTCCATTCAGTGAAGGACGAATAAGAAGCTTGGATATTATTTTGTTTGATGAACACATTTTTATTTTATCAACCTAGTTTAAATTATATATACATTCTTCATATAAACAAATAGAAAACAAACTATAAGGTGAATTTCGTAATTACTTTTTTCCCCATACATTTACTATCTACAAACACACGCATATTAAATATAATAGCATGAACTATTTCATATTCGTGCCCTTGGTAGCTCGGCTTTACGTCTGCGGGCTTATAAAGTTTTTCCCATGACAAGAAGCAATCTGGATTAATAGCTATGTTGTATTATCTTATTTAAAATCGTTTATTTGGCCCCTAATTCACTATCTCATATTTATTTTTTCTTGTACATTAGACTAATAATATTCTAAAAGAAAAATGCGAGCAAAATAATTAACATTTTTTACATGTTTGAAATACAAAATCCAGGAAAACAAATATTATATTAATTATAAAAAATCAATTTATACTACCTCTCGGGGTCTTTAAAGACGAATTTTCGAAGTTTCAGATCTCGAAGAACTACTCCAGCATCGTGACAGGCCTGGACCGCTTGAACTACTTGCCGAAAAAGGGGGACTGCCACTTGTTCTTTGAGACGACGTTTGGAACGTACGTAAGAATGCAAGTCTTCGTACGAGCGTGGAAAAAAAATGTACGCTCGACTTGTACCAACTAACACTTCTTCAACTCTGTTAACCTGCGGCTGTCCATCTAACCGGAGGTAACCAGCAAGAGTTCTTTCATACGAGTCCTTGGCCACAATCTGCAATGGAAAGAACGAACCGTTAGGTAACCACTAAATTTAAAGCTCCATTGTATTTACTCGTATTCTAAAAAATAAAACTTGAAAGAAAACGTCATTTTGAAACACATACGTGCACACATTAATTGATGTAGGCCTACGAGAAAGACCAAACTAAAAAAAAAAACTTAACAGTGGAACCATGAATAACTACAATTAAAATCTGTGATAAAAATAAACCTTTTATTTCATCTTTCATCCGAATGCAATTAAAAACTAAACAGGTCGTATACAGTTCTCACCAGCGTACGAAAATATACGCTGGAGAATGCAGTAAGGCCCCGCCTGCGCTTTAACAAAATGTCAAAAGGGCGTTATTTGATATCAATAAATAGCTTGCAAAGCTATTTCACCAGCAGCAACTTCAGCAAATCTTGTGTACTTCAAACATTTCTTTCCTGTTCCTAAGTGTCTATTTATAGCGACTAATGTTCGATAATATATATTTTTTAAGAACTTCACTATTTTATCTGTACAGTTTCATAGGGGTGTGAGGTCAGGAAAATGCTTATATTTTGTACGCTCTTGAAAATGAGAAGTTTTGAACGATCCCTAATATCAAACGTTGTATTTCAAATAGTTACACAAAAACTTTAAAAGCTTTAAATTTTTTCTCGACTTCTGAATTATACACGTACAATTTACTGTTAACTAAAAATTTCATCCAAGCGCTGGGCAAACAGAAGATACTGTGCGATTAACAATAATACCATCGTAAATCAATTGTTCAATACACCCTATTGAACAACACCATACTGTCGTGGAAAAATATCAGGAATTTAATTATAGTGCAGGGTGGAAAAATTCAGACATCAAATTTAATTATTGTACAGGTCGAGATCACAGTATGAAACTGAATTCTGTGTTTTTCGCTAAAGATAACCGAAATAAAATAATCGTACAGATCCAAATAAGCATCATTTAGGGTGGAAAATTTCTCCAGAATTAATAATCGAACAGCTATGATTATTTGGAACATGAGAGTGCTTCTTTTATCAAATAATGATTTAAACGTTTCAAATAGTACCAATATTTTTTGGTGAAGTAGTGAGTAAAGGACTACACATCAAAAACAAACATTCAAAACATGCCAATATTTGGGCTTCTTTCCGCATTTTGGCAAATAACTCTCTCAAAATTAATCTATCTATCTTACATTAGTAGGCGTCTTTCAATAACCGAGTTTTTTCTAGACAAATCGTGCATCAAACACTACGCACACTCATGTTTTATATTCATTTAAATACTTTGAAATGGTAAATGTATGTTTCTCATTGTTTAAACTGAAGTTTATTTACGATAATGATATTGATGGCAGCGTAATTACAATATTGTTAAAACTTATTCTTGTGTGTTTGTAGCTGTATTGAGGATGTTGATATAGTACACTGTGACTTAGATAAATTAAATTGGAAAGCTGTACAAATATTTTAAAAATGACCTTTAATTACAGTAAGAGCATATGGATTATAATTTGAATCATATGTTTAATATAGACAGGAAACCACATGAATGAAGAAAATTATCTTGAAGGACGAGTCATCCAGGCCATTGAAGCAGTGCTCAGTTGCTGGTAGTAACACTAATAGAATTTTGGAGTACACTTATAAATATAAAAAAAACAACAAGAGAAATAATTTCTCTTTACACAAATTCTGGTTAGGCCTCACTTGAAATTCTGCATACAGTTAGGCCTTTTTGTTTAAGAAAGAAAATTGACTTATTGGGAAAAAATTCTGAGGAGGGCTACTAGGATGTCCGAGAATGGGTTATTTTATAGGAATGGTTAAGATATTTTTATTTTCTCTTACGAATAGAATAGTGAAGGGTGATCTTACCTAAATTTACAAGATTATGTGGAGAATCGGTAAAGTAAAAAGCTTCCATTTTTTTGTGCTTTATTCTGAAGACTATAGGACGGGAGGACACAAACTGAAGGTTTGGAAAAGATAGGCTAGTCTATATTGGACCAAAACCAGTCCCCTGTTGTGCGTATGTTATAATATGTGCACTTACTGTGTACGTTATGATATATAATAATAATAATAAGTAAAATTCTAGTGTGTGTCGTCAAAACCCGATATGATTTCTAGACCATTTTTTCCATAACCTGTCAATAAATATCCAACGGAACATTATCACTGTAGTATCAGAAGCACGCACAAAACTTGTGGATATTATTCATTATAACCCTGCCTATATCATTCCTGGGATCATCTATCATGTTATGAAGTTTGAGAAATTTAAACAAGCCTGAAGGTTGTTAATATTACAACTTTGATCGCAAGAAATACCAGCTGGTGAATGCTGTTGAAATTCCCTTTACTTTTAACTTTATATGTACTAAAAACTCGATATTTTGTCGGTGTTTGTCTTGGTGTAAATAACGCACAGAAAGATAGCTTTCTTCTCTATTACCTAAACATCCAAAAATCAGTACAAGGGATGAGATGATTTTCTTTCCTAGTCACTTCTTTTTAATATTCAATAACTCACTTTGAACATTTTTATTAACAGAATAAAATTTACACAAAACAGTTACTAATAAAAACAAAAACTGACACATAAAATCTGGATCTCCGTGACAGTAAAACCCTTGACTTATTCTTCCATTTGTAGATATATTTCCGTGAACATGTTCACGAGTGCAAAGAAAAACAAAATTATTAATTGCTTCACTAATTGTAATACACGAATAAATACCGCGTTTATTGTACTTTACGGGTATACACACCAAATCAACAAATGCATTATACTTGTAGCTGTGACATAATATAAATAGCCGACTGTCACGCACGGTTCTTTCCCCATTCATAAATCACACATACTGTCTTTCTGATGAACAGTACAGGCCACCAATGTCACGACTGTCATAAACGGCCATCATGCGATTTTTTTGGAAAACCCTTAAGAGATGTTTGTTATCTAAATAAGCCAACAATTAATTTACATGTGCACCACAAGAGTAAGTTTTAAAACTGAATAACAAAACAAAAACTAACACCTTTGTGAAGAAACGTTTTTTTATACTAAACTTACGAAGGTAATAACTTAAAAAATAAAGCAAAAAAAAACAAACAAGGAAGATAACAGAATATTTTCAACTTTGTTGAAAAACAAAAATTGTCCAGATTTAGTGGTACACTGGCAAGACACTGTTTAAAATGTCCTTGACACAAGAAGTTACTACATTACAAGTTGTAACATAAGGAAACCAGAACCAAACAAATCGGGCCGCATATGACCAAGTAAATAGTGCTTTCGAACTACAAATCCTGAGGTTCATTCGTGTCCAGTTGCCGTAAAAACAAGCTCCGTCCTTTGAGGTTGTGGTTGAGCTACAATAGTGAGAGTAATGTCCCACTATTCGGTCAGACAAGAACAGCTCAAGTTTGTTTGTTGTTGGCTGTAGGATCTGTTAACTTGTTACCTGCCCCCTTACTCTTGGTATGCCAGTTTAAACTAAACTTCGAAATTAAGGATGTCTACGCGCAAATAGCCCTTGCGTAGCTTTGCGCGAAAATTCTAAAACAAACTAAACAAATCATTATTTTTACGGGGCTTTGAATGCTTTTTAATTCACCATACAGTAACATAAATTAATTTAGGTACATGAATAATATTATGACGTGTACGGCAAATCAAGAAATGTATTACTATTAGGCCTCTACGTCACATTCTCTTTTCAATTTTACCTTTGGTTAAAAAGAAAATTGAAAGTTTCTGATTTTGGATACAAATCGTTATACAATTTACGCAGCATAGTCCCTTTCTTACTTGCGTGCTGTTTTCATTTGTTGGTTTTGAACTACGCTTAAATATGAGTTTGCATGTTTATCTATTTTGAACATGAATTAAACATGAGTATACATAAAAAACGTACAAAAATACAGCCACGAATGTTGCAGAGAATTTAACATCTGATGCAAAACATTAAATTTTCAAATTTATACCATATCCTCCTCCCCCCTCCTTTTCGAAATTGTAGAAAATTCTTCCTCTTTACAGAAAACGTTAAACTAAAATATGTAAAGAGGAAAGACCTGATATCACACATGATCAAAAACAACATAACTTTACAACATATTAACAAAATAAATCTTTCAAGGCTGTCCTTGCAAATTACTCTTGAGAAAAGTAAAAATAATCGGAGAACCTTTATGAAAAAAGAAAAGAAAATTGACTTACCTTACAGACAAATTCTTCCTGAGTTAGTACGTGGATGCAGCGATACAACATAGAACCTTCTTGTTGCCCCAATAATAAATATGAGCCAATTCGACTAGTCGTAAAAGGTTCAGTGGCGTCTGGGCATATTGGTGGAGTAGGAGGTTGGAGGTTAGGGCTAAGACTTCCTCCACTCCCGCCTTCTGGGTTTTTTTCAAAACTTCGCATTTGTTTTCGACGTGCATCGTAAAGGTTAAGACGTGGGAGGCGAGAATTTATATTCATGTGGAAAAAATTAATTTTTGAAACTAATCCTTAAAATCCGACTCGTAATTTTCATTCACAGAAGCACGTTGATGATGGTCTTTTTTTTTTTTTTTTTTTTACAATCGGTTTGCCATATTTGCTTCTAAGTAAACTTTCCGTAGCTTAAACACAAACTTTTAGGTTTTCTAATATACTGTACTGAGAAACCAAGTTGAAGACAGCCGTCACCTTTTTATGTTGAAATTCTGGTTATTAAGAATCTGGAAAAATAAAAGATAAAATGAAGTCGAAACACAGAAAGTCTTAATAATTGTGGTAATCAAATACGTTAAAACAACCTACAAGTACGTACGTGCCTGCTATTTATCATTTCATATGCAATCCCAAAAATATTGGGAAATGTAAAAAAAAAAATAAAACTTTGTATGTAAGGTGGCGCTCTTGGATTACGAAATTGCATGACAAAGCTTAAGCCAGAAATATAAAGAGCCCTTAGGTTAATTACTACGGTATTTGCTAACGCGCACAAACACTAATGCTAACCAACTAACGCGAATTTGAATACCACCGTGCCTTTGTTCTTTCACGTATAGTTCTGGTTTTGAGTTTTAACACCTGATAGTGATGTATCACGGAAAATCCGACACTTTGACCTGAAAAGTGAAACAAAACTCCCTCTGACCTTACGATTTCATAAGTTAAAGACCTACTTCAGATACAATTAAAATAACGAAAAATCTGAACATCAGCATTACCAATCTAAATGTACTTATAGTAATATTAATATTCAACGTTTAATACCACCAAACTTGTTTGTTACTTACAACACAACTTACCATTAACTTCATACTCTTTGTACGTTTTGAATATTAACGTTTAAATTAAAACTATTCCCGAGTCTATGATTTTCCAACATTTATTAAATTATTTTATTCAGAAATTTTGAAATTATTTTACCGGACAAAAATAAGTTAAGGCTCGATAGCTTTCTCTATCATTATCAGTATTAAAGCATAGCTAACAATTTTAAGGTATTACTATTAGTAAGCTACAGCATAAAATTAAAAAAAAGTACATTTGTAATATACTGATCTTTAAGAAGCAAACGTATCTTACAATTGGATTTCTCAATTTCAAGGTTCTAACTTACAACACGGTACACTTAAAACCTTATAACACTATCAACAGCAGTGTCTAACTCAAACTTTAAATTTGAATATATCATATGTTAAAAATTAAATCGGTTGTTGTACCTTCCCAACGTTACTGTTGCAATCATACTTTATTTCTGACAAATATGCTTAAATTCTTTAGTATTTAGACAGTATATGTTATAAATAAATGGTTGAACAAAGAATTAAATTTAAAACTGTGATACAGATAAAATGAAAAGAACTGATCTTTTGTTTGTTGCGTTAGGACGTTTTACGAAGTTTTAGGCCTACTTTGTTATACAGACACTAGTTTTTTTACCACATTTCCGTTATGTATAAGTGTATATATATATATATATATATAGTATATATGCATATGCAAGATATCCTACCCTTTACTTAAGCTCCTCAGATGAAAAAACCAACCATGTAAAACTTATACTTTCACACTCTTTCCCTAAAAGTAAAAAGTTAGTTTCTAACTCAGGACAAAAACGAAAGTTGAACTACTCTATCGTGGTTTCCACCAAATCACAAAATCTTCCTCACAGATCAACCATTGTGCGATCAATCCCACAAACGCGAGGATGAAGATTTTAACCACGTTTAGCGCAATAATATTGTTTGGGTCAAATATTATTTTTATGCTCAGTTATTTTAATCCTACTTTACTGTTGCCTCATAAATTTATCAATAAGCTTTTACTACTTCTTATGCAAAAACAATGCTCTCAGTATTATCTTTGTATCAATATTGCATGATAAAAAATGAGAACTACTTTCTTTCGGGCCACAATGTTCAGGAACAAGAATAAAGTACTACTGCCTACTAACACACTGTTAGTCACGTCGGCGTGTGCAGGAAAATTATGCCTCGTTAACAACACAGGAAGAACTATAATACTTATAATAATAATTCATTCACTATTGTCACAAGTTTAAGATTATTTTACAATATATATATACATATATAAGGAAGTGGATACAATGGAAACACAAATAATCATTTGACTTACGTTGATGTATTTTCAGATTTATACGGCTTAGCTCTGGGGTATCACAGGTTAGTTATCCAAAATCATAAAAACTCCGGCTGAAATAAGCTGAAGTTACCCAGATAATATTTGAAAGATATAAAAATAAGATAATATGAATGATTATTTAAATATCTTTACTTTGTAAGATGTTAAAACTCATGTCAAACTAGACAAAGCTCGCGTGGCAAAACGAAAACTCTTTATTCCATATTAGGTGAACGCAATAGATGAAAAACCAATAGCGCTCAAGCTCTTTCGTGCGTCATTTTACGTCATATTTGTATAGGTTACTTATATCTTATTCATGCTAAGTAATTTAGCTCTTATCGGTATCTCACACAAAGCAATGACGTTATTCATCTAGATTCTGAATTGAGACTATTTCTTCTTTCCTCATTGGTGATGAAAAATATATAGAACTGAAAATGTGATTGTAACTCCGAAACTCAATGAATAAAAATAAAAATTTAGAAGTCTGTTTTCAACAAAAAAAGAAACATTGCGGTACCTGGCTGGTAATGGAGGTGTAGGCGGTGTGCTTATATGGCAGTCGACAATACACGTGTTTGTATTTTGTAGGATCGAGTTGCTATTGTAAAGCTAATTAGTTAAATGAATGTTTGTTAAATTAATTATTATTTGAATGTTCACAAGACAAAATACGAGTTAAAATCAGAGTGAAAATTATGTTAGAAATATTGTTAAAGAGGAAGAATGAAATATATAAGTATTCGGGAATGGAATGAACATTAGTTATCGAAATCAATAAATGTTTCCAATCTTATTTGTCATCAAGGCCAATTATTGTAATTATTTAAACGCATAATTAACAAAAATTTAAACGAAGTCCCACGTCTGTCTTATCACATTTAAGATATAAGGAACTGGTTTTTTATAAGCAGGAATATGACATACGTGAATTCGACAAAAACAATTTTAGCCAAATTAATTGGGTACAGGAGGTTAGTTACATTTTATATGAACAATTTAAATGTGCTAATACAATGATACAGGTGTGAGTCGTGCCATACTCTTTTGAATATACGACCTCTTTAAACAATCAAATTCATAACAAAACTCGCCCACACGAAATTAAATATGTTTAGATATATAAAAACAATGAAAAAAAGGTTAATCAGAAAAAGAAATGCGTCGCACTAGGCCTATGCATTCCCGAATAGGAAGTCTTAATTAAATTTTCCACCAAAAAAGGGCAAAGAAAAGTTATAAAATGATAACATCATACAAGTCTATTTAATCACAATACAAAAAATTTAAAACGATAAATATAATATTTTAATGTCTGCAGATTGATTGTTTCCAAACTGAGTTAGAATATAAAACTCGATTAAAAACATTTTTTTGTGAAATCTATAAAATAAAGATGTTCATGTAAAGAATGTAAACAAAGAATACAGTTCGATTTTTTTTCTATGCCTCCTTAGGACGCGGACCCGAGTCCCATGTATAATCCTAATATGATTCATGGCAAATTCCTGATTATTCAACAGCACAGTGCCTCAACAGATAGACTCGTGACTGGATAAATTTAAAAAAGTATTCCCAAAGCCTTTCACACAGCGCAATTATTTAATGATTTCGACCTACACGGCGTTTCATTTAGAAGAAAGCCTTCAGTGTTCCTCCTAGAGGTGAAAAAATTCGTACAGCAGAGCAACGATATTTGAAACCACACCTAAAGTCAGTCTGGAATAAATCCCTCAATTCAAAAGTGAAGAATATGGTAATGAAACAGATTCCCTTGGCACACACACACACACAAAAAACATTGTTATGAAACTGGCTATATCCTTTATTACCCTCAACAAGACGGTAAACAGGCTGATGAGGTCCACTAGCTTCCAGCTACACCTTAAGAGCCACGACTGTTTCATGGGAAATATTACTAAATAAAGTGGAATGACAATCAATCATATGCTTGTAAAGCCCTCTGGTGAGCCTTAATGGATGTTTTTATCTTTAGTCTGCTTAAACATGACCTTAGAGGCCTACCTTCATGTAAAGTGAAAGGTGTTTGATATTTTCAACCCTTTTATGGTACCTTATGCGTCCTGTAGGCTAAACAGGAATGCCCCCAGATCAGAGACGTCTCTAATTTAGAACTGCTGACCAGAAGAAGGAAAACCAGTCTGTAGCATCCTCTGCAAACATGGAAAATGTTACCTGAATATTGACTGTCACTTTTATAACATGCTCATATAATATGTGGGGTCTATTCAGATTTATACAAGAGAATCGAACTTTGAACCTTCCAATCTGTTGAAAAACCTCAGTAAAAGGTTTATAAAAAGCTTCCATCCTTTGCATAAGCTTTTGATAATACTTATATATTATTATTATTATTATTAATTTGGTGGGCAATACTGCGTAATTACGGCCACCAGGCTGTCAACGATAGAGGAAGTAATAAATACCAGAGCAGCATATTAATTAGAATATCAGCGTTCTTGTAAACTGTGCAATTAACCTCAATGACGTCGGAACGAACACAGCAGGTAGGAAAAAACTATACATCTTTCTTTTTTGTCAAAATATTCTTCTCCAAAAATATGAATTTTTTCAAGACGTTCTATGTGTTTGTTACGTTGAAATATAGAATATTTTATAGTTTCGTTATGAACTGTGCAAACGTTTCGTGTATTAGAAAACCGTGCATACACTTCAAATAAATTATAAGACACTTCATATAAATTATAAACGTAACATTCTTACCACAGATTTGACTAAAGTATAAGAAATAATGGATTTTTAAGAGAAAAAAACTATTATAAATGCATAATCAAGGCTGTTATTTCAGTATTATCACCTATAATTATTCTCAGACTGGTTGTATGAATGGTCTTAATTTTATAAATTTAGTTTTTCCCAGTGAGTTGGTGTTTAGGAAAGATTGTAGACTATAGAATTATTCATTAACTTCGTAAGTTAAGTTAACAAATAAGTTGAACACAAGCATTCAAAATCAGATGCCTTATATGATAAAATTTCAGCGAATGCACGAGCTTGCATTGTTGCTGGAGCTTCCACCACGTTTTTCATTCATCTTAATAAACAACGTAAGAATACAAGTCACCAAAACTCGGAGCACTATGACTTTTTTTCTTTTTTCCGTTTATAAACGGTCTACAGATATTTTTAGATCACTACAAGATCTAGAAAAAAATCACTTTGAAATGCTGCTAAAAATAGTTTCGACGCACAGTTTGCTTCAGTGATTCATGGCGTAAATCTGCTGTTTGCCTTGAAAGTCTTCGTTATTGCTTTAAACAAAACATTTCTTTACTTAGTCACTCATTACATCTTGTTTTTACTTACGTAAAATGTACTTCCCGTGGAGATGTTTGAAACTTCCAAAAATGTTTTTTTTTTTTAATTTCTTTAGATGGACTGAAGGACTGTTTCATTAGGATGTTGATCAAGAAGGAGAAATATAAATAATGGCTGAAGTTGGATTATTCTGACAACATACATTACGTTTTTCTAAATGTGAAAAACAAATTTAAGGAACAGAACGACAAGGGAGTCCTGCTCTCTTTTAAGACCCAAAGAGTTAAAAAATTTGCTCTAGTGCTGGCTAAATAGTTGGTGTTTTGGATTTCTGACCTCAAGCTCTTCAGCTACTGATAAGGTTCTTGATGTCGCTACTTCCAAAATTGACCCTTCCTACTGTCCGACAAGAATGGATTGTAATTTCTTATTTTTCTCCTGGTTTTCCTCTCTCTTTTCTTCCAATGTAACCGGACTTGGTCAGCTTTATTGGATTTTAGATCCTGGTTGACCTGGGAGGGTCAGGTGCAAACTTGACCTCTTCCTCCCTCAGTACTGTTGTTGTCCACATGTAACCGGACTGAGCGTTTGGTTTGGTTTGTTTTGAATTTCGCGCAAAGCTACACGAGGGCTATTTGCGCTAGCTGTCCCTAATTTAGCAGTGTAAGACTAGAGGGAAGGCAGATAATCATCACCACCCATCGCCAACTCTTGGGCTACTCTTTTACCAACAAATAGTGGGATTGACCGTTACATTATAACGCACCCACGGCTGAAAGGGCTTGCATATTTGGTGGGACGGGGATTCGAACCCGCGACTCGCAGACTGCGAATCGAGCACCAAAACCACCTGGCTATACTAGGCCGGACTGAGCGTGGCCAAATGGTTAACGTTTCGAACTGTGGATCTAATGGATAGTATTCGCGCCTCGTAACCACACGCACAAGAAGAGGCTAAGCACTTTGAGGCATGGGTATGTTATAAGAGTAACGGTCAAATCACATCAATTGAGTTGGCGGAGACTGCTGTTGACTAGCTTCCTTCCCTCTGGTCTGTCACTGCTAAATTAGAGATAGCTGTGTGTGTAGATAGCCCTCGAGTAGGTCTAGGCGAAATTACACAACTACAAAACAAGCAGATTTAAAGTAACCAGCCTTTTGTTTCTGTTTGTAAACTTTTTAAACTTCTATCTAACTTATCTAAAACTTAAATCCATAACAATACTAGTCAAATAAAGTTCGAAAAGAAACAATATATATCAGAAGATTCAATTCAATGTTGTTGACACATCCGTTTCTTCGTTAGTCAAAGTAAAGATGTTTTCTTAAAGAAACTATTGCAATCAATGAATAGAGATACTGTGTAGTATGAAACATGCAATTATAATTATTATTTTTTAACTTATTTAGGACAGTGCTGCTATCTAGTGACAAATGTCACAAATACTGACAGTGCTGAGTTGAAACAGCGCATATCATTGCGTATATATGTTATTAGA